AAATCATGACAACCAGGCAGATTTTCAGACAAATAGAGTTACACCCAGCTTAATGTCTGGAAACAGAGTGGTGATCCATCAGGCCCAGTTCTGGTGATCAGGCTACGGAGAAACTTATCAAAGACTGCTGTTATCCAATGTGGGACCTGGATACCTGGCAAGCAGAGTTTGATCATCTTCAAAGTGGCTTTCTGGCTGGACTACCACTTCTTGCTTAACATGGGGGGTTTCAGCTGGGACTCCAGGCCGTGTAGTTGCTTTAAGTTGCAGGAGCATGTAAATATTCTGATTTTATCAAAATAATTACTTAACACGAATATAAAATTTAATGATTTTACTTAACTGTATTTAAACCCTTCAGAACTTGCATCCCATACATGCATTCCCCGCAAACGTCTTTCACATCCGGGCATCCCACCCATGCATCACTGGAGAATTAATGAAGGACAGATGATGCATACACGCATTTTAAGCTGAAACATGCTTTAAAGTCCACTTAATGGTGTCCTGTGTCCATTACTTTTGAATAAAATATAGTTTTAGGATCCTAACCATCACTTTGATCATATTCTGCATAACATTGGTGTCATCTGTTGCGGAGGAGAAGGCAAAACATAATGTAAACAAAGAGAGCTTGCCTCTAACTTGCCATGTGATATAAACATTCACATTTCTGATATCCCTTCGAATCCTTTTTTCCCTTTTTATTTCAGAAAGCCTTGACTTCAATTTATCATTGCGAGAAAGCATTATTTATCAGAGGAAGGAAGTACTCGTATAGTAAATAAGCGAATTAGTGACATGGATGAGAACGATGATTCATTTCCTAAAGAATTAGAGAGTGATATTTCTACTGATTCTCATATGGACATTTTGTCAGAAAGTGAGCTCCCCGAGTGTCAGCCTTCTATTTCCTGAGAAAGATATTGTTACTTCTTATTTAAAAGTCTTTTTTTTATTTTTATTTTTTTATTATTCATTTTAGTTTATTAATGTATTTCATCAATTAAAACTTTGGAATAATTTAAATAGCATATTTCAAAATTATTCCTCAAGTAAGCAATCTATTTTACATATTTCCATGTAAACTAAAGGGAAAAAATTATGAAATGCTCATTTTAACATATAACTTAAGTAATGATCTAAAATAGTACCAAAAGTTATGACATTAGGACTTCAGTAGTCCTATTACAAGATATGCTTCTCAAACAAAAGTCTAAAATGCAAACAGGTAGGATGGTAAGAAGTTTTGTGCATGTCCCAGTTAGCTCTACAAGGTCTCATACATACTCCACAGGAATCAATTCAGGTGAGGTATCTAGTTAGATTCATTACTCTCAGTAAAAAGAGAAGCCAAGTCTTAGCTACAAAAGCCAACACAATGCAAAGAACACTGAACAAGTAACTCATAACAGGTACCTGGATACCAGCACTGCAGGGGTTGACTGTCCAATGAACAAAGACAGGACTAAGTGACACAGAGTAAGACAGGGTTGCCACACAAACAGGAGAATGAAATTCTCTGACTTTTCCAGGTGTGTTTCAAGAAAATTCCAGTCTATCCGCGTAATGTACGTTGGCTGTGCTAAGAGGTAAATTAATTATGGTATTACTTGTATTGTGTAGCAAATTCACTTAATTATTCAATAAATCCCAGAGGACATTTATTCTTAATTATTCTTGGTATACTTTGTTTGATAATTTTGTTTAGTTTTCCACTTAAGAAACTTAATAAAATTTAAGATATATATATTGGATAACAAATGTATGTTTTTATTTAATTATTACTCATGATCATCACCAGTTTAACACGAGGCTAATCCGGTCCTTATAAATCACAACGCAATGCTAAATAGTTAGGTTAGATTTTAGGTAAATTTAATTTGCATGAGGTATGTTCTTAAAAGGCACCTTAACACTTGAAAACACAAATATAATTATAATAGTTGTTGTTTTCTCCACTGAAGATTGAGATTAGAATCTTCCCAATCTGGAATACAATAAGGCTTTTTTTGCAGACATTCTGCAGCTAAACGAAAGAAAGAAATCTATTTTAATAAATTGAGGTATTTTATATTTATTTCGCAGCATACATAAGGAAAAATATGTGCATTAAATTTCGTGATGGTATGTCATCATACTGCTATAATTAATTTCAGGATTATGCCAGAGAAAATTTCCTGAAATTTGGAAATATTATTTACTAATAATAAATAAATTTAGAGGGAAGAAGCAACATTAAATTATATGAATAACATAAAAATAATTACTTAAAAATTGAATTAGAATAATCAATGATATTTTAGGGAATATAGTTATATTACATGGCTAGCCTAGATGACTGATTACTATTTTTTTATTTTACTGCAAAGTGGCAAGGTATTTATTAAAAAGAAAAAAAAAAAAGGTTTAAAAAGATTTTGCGGTAAAATTCTAGTATACGGTAAGGCTTTGGCACAATTTCGAAAATTGTCGCCAAGACCAAAATGACCCGTTTACTGCGCATCAAGATGTCGCCAAATCCCATTATTATCTAACCAAAGAACGTCTATGTAAAGAAGAAAAGGTTCCATACAAGTAAAATGCTATTACGCCGCTAGAATGCGGAGGGAAAATTTGCCAAGGGATTTGGCGACGGAACCTGGCACTGGAATCGGCGCAAAAATCGCTTTTTTTGGCGGGATCGTTGTATGAACTTCCCTGACTTTTCCAGATTTTGACAAAATACTTAAATTCCCTGACTTTTCCTTGAATATTTTGGTCAATTTTTGAATTCCCTGACTTTTCCCGGTTCTCCAAGTTTTCCAGGTAGCGTGGCAACCCTGGTAAGATATTGAAAAAGTAGTTTCTGGGCATAATACACCTTAGGTGATGGAGGTCATTAACCACTTATGCAGTATCAGTATACTCTTACACATTTGCAAATGCAATTTACAGCAAACAGCGATTTCTAGATATGAATGAACTATACTTATATCTTCTGTACGGGTTGTAGAAAGTCTACTAAATCCCATTTCCTTTTCTTATTTATAATTACCACCTGTTGATAACTAGATAACCACAAGTCAATACATGTAGGTACACAAATTGTTTTGTATAAAGTTTTTGGACGGTAAAGTTGTATCAACTCTAGATTAACACTTTCGCTGCTGGTCATGAGAGGTTGTGTTGCTAGTTAATGCTGTGTCACAGAAATATATTGTACACATATGCCAACTTACTTTTTTTAATAAGAAATATGATTTGAAACAGGTAATAAAAGATACAACATTGATTGCTAAGCCTTTAAGCATAGTTTTATGACTACACGCTAGCGCATGATCTGCACTAGAGATAGTCATTTCTGCAAAGCAGCATTACATGCTGGAGCAATGAATCAAAGTGAGTAATAATACACATTATTTTTGTATGAAACTATATCACAAACAAATATATAAACTACAAATGAATTTATTATAAGATAGTTATAATGATATTATTGCAAAATATACAGGATGGTTCAAAACTATATGTCAAAAATGTAATGGCAGGTAGAAGGGACCAGAATAAGCATATTTCGTATAGGAACGTGTGTGCGATAATACAGCATTAAAGTGCTAGCACACAAAGCAGTATGAATCACAGAAATTGAAAAATATATATATATATATATATATATATATATTAACAATTTACAATAGGTGCTTGAAAGTGCAGCAACCAACAGCATATATATTGTTAGAGGCAGTGTATGGATCGGCATATATTAGAGAAGACAACAGGTATGTCGAGCACATGTCCAGTAGCAACAGACAAGCGAGCAACAAGATTTTCTGCAGATGTGAGGTGATTCTCATACATGACCCCAAAAGAAGAAATCCAAGCAGGTTCAACCAGGAGAATGCGGTGGCAAGGGAATTGGTCTGCCCCATCCTATCAAATGCTGGCCATAGACAGCGTTCCGGTGATTCCTGATGTTTCGACTGAAATGAGCTGGGGCTCCATCTTGCTCGAACCACATTCATCTGCGAATAGCTGGAGGAACATCCACCAAAAGTTTAGGTAAAATCTCTCTGTACATTCTTTGAGCATCTAATTCATTTCCTTGTGCAATTCCATACATGAAATGCATGTTGGCAAGCTCCGCATTGGTGTAACTATGCATGCTGCTTGAGATCCGAGAGGGGAATGAAGAATCCAGCTGGCGCGGCTCATTTATACGCCACACTCACCAATGCTCTCTACCAGCTCAACACGGCATTACCACACACACATTCCTATATTAAATCTGCTTATTTAGGTCCCCTCTACCTGCCATTACATTTTTAACATATAGTTTTGAACTACCCCGTATATTGTAAAATGTTATTCGTGTATGATGTTTGCAAGAAACTTTGTTTTCATTCTAAACCACATACATTTACAACTAGTTTATAACCTTCATGTCACTGCAATACCAGCATATATATTCAAAACATACTGCCGATTGAACTTGAAAATAAACATTGAAATATTGCTTTTCCCGTGCCAGCGTGTAACTGGCATCTGAGACATCACCCCACACTACGTGCCAGAGCCAGAGTGTGATTGGCTCTTCAGCAATAATGCCAATCACACTCATGGGTGACAGGTGTAATTAAGTGATTTTTGCCACAAGTTTGCAACACTGTGTGTTGATTGTGTACAACTTGCAATTAACATTTTGTCAAATAAACAACAGAATCATCATTTGAAAATGATTACCGTTATTCTAAATACATTTTAATAGGTAAGTGACACCTGTCATCCACATGCCTAATCATGCAACATAAACATATGTGCATAACAGAAGGTTAAATAGGTGCTTACACAGGGCCCATCAATTTATTTAACACTTCAGAGTAAATTAAAATTACAAAAAGAATATTTTGGGGGGAAATCTGATCAAATCTTCTAATTATGAAGCAACTTTTCCTGTCAATATTAAAAATGCATATAAGACACTGGCAAATAACTAAAAATATATTAAACTTCATTTTTACCTGAGATAATCTGTCACATTTTTGCTTTTCTTCAGCATAACGATATATTAATCTTTTCCGCTCTGCTAGAAGTAATAAAACCATTTGTTTCTGTCTTAATCTCTCTTGCTCTAATGTCTCAGTTAAACATTTTATATCTTTTTCCATACACCTATTTTGTTGCCTTTCAAATTCATTTTCTTGATGCAAGCGTTCACGCTCTTTTTCAAGTAAATAAGTCACATCATCACCTTGAGCAGTATCTTGAGCATGCTTACGCTTTTCTTCCTCTAATTCAGCAAGAAGCTATAAATATATGCAAACATAAAAACTTGATTTGAAATAACACTGCATAATGACAATAATTAATCAAAAAGCGTGGGACATCAATTAATGGTGAAAATATGATATATTAGGTACAAACATTTACTACAAATAAGTAGCAAAAATAAGCATTCTATTACACAAGGAAGAGGTTGGTAGAAAACACAAAATTTCCCTCAGTTCAATAACTAAGAATCCTCGACACATAAAACGTTTTAAAAGCAAAGGAGATAATTACTACCTTTGAAAGTTACATAAATATTACAGAATACAATGATTATTATTTGGTGTATTTGAATAGTTTACAACTACAATGCTCACTCTCCAGTTTCAACCTGAAAACTGCAGTTTTGAATGGACATCTTCAAGCACTGGCTTTACAACTTGAATCTCTGGGTTGAATAATTATTTTTTTGCATGTGAATTATGATGCTATTTGATAAATTGTCTTTATCTTTTATGATAAAAGGAAAGACATCTGTAATATTTTTTTAGTAGGGCTCTAATCAGAACTACGCAGAGAAAAGTAATTTTATTCCTGAGCAGTTGGAGTACTTCTCAGCAAATGTGACTATTAACTAACATGAGTGATTCAAGTGGAACAGTATAATACAATACATGACCATATTGAAAGCAAAAGGTAACCATAATATTATCCAACTATTGACTGCTGTATATTATGTATACAAAACAGGAAAGTGCAATAAAACATAAATAAATTTTTTCTTGTATTCATATCCTTATGATTAAAGACTATAATGTAATAAAATTTTATTTAATTATGCATGTTACTTATAAAATTAATAATATATATTTAATACAATAATTATGATTTTAGTTTAACATATTCTAAGAAATGTATAATTTGTTTACTTTAATTATTTGTTTAAATATATCTAGAGTTACAGTTACTATGAGGTGGCAATCACAATTTAAAGCTTTAGGAAACTCATAACAAATGAAAATATGTCTTATATGCATGCTTCTAGATACAGTTGAAAAAAAAAAAATTCAGTTTAGCTTCTCAAAAACTGAACTATAGTTATTATTACTTTTATTTATTTACTTGTCTATTTAGGGTTTACTGACTGAGCGATAAATAATAGCACAGCACTTGACAGCAATCTACTGGGAAACGATTGCTTTTATGGAGAAATTCCTGAGAGATATTTTTAATATACGTAGAGAAAAATACAAGAATATGCGTGCACCAAAACTAAAAAATTACACACAGAATGAAGCTTAATATTTTACAGACTGTGATTAAGCCATTGCTTGAACCACCTCTTCAGGTTTTAAATCTACAGTATGTGAAATGAAGATGCTGCAATTATGAATATTTTGCAAGATGCAGAATGCTTTTACTTCAAAATAATTAAACTGTTCAATAACATTACAGATGGAACATCAATATACTACTACTTGAAGCATTTACAATTTTAAAGAAATCATAACTTGGTACGTAAGCATTCTTTTTCCATTTTAAAAAATAAAATAGACTTTTCCATTTTGAGAGAGGTAAGGAAGTGGTAGTAAAAGTATTTGACATACACCAAAAAATTATTCCCTTACACACAAAAGTTATAAATCAGTCACAAAAGTCATCTCTAACAAATTGGTTTAATTTAATACACTGCACAAACGGAAAAATGAATTTTAAAAAGCTTGATGCACCTTATCACTGATCTTACTGAACTAGCTTGTGAAAGAAATCTAGAAGAATAAAAGTAACTTTGACTAGAAAATCACTACACGTAAATCCTCTTTAAGCAACATCTTTCAAAAGACGTGTCTAGTCAAATTTCTTTATAAAATAATTTGATACAAAATACAAGATTCAGTTATTTACACTCACTTCCAAAAGCTAAGCACAGAGAGTAAAATGCTAATTTATGGAAGCCAATCAGAATTGATGAGGATGTAATTCGCTGCAAAGGCAGATGGAAGTATGCAAATATGTTACGTAACAGCCAGTCGTGCTTTCATGTCAAGAAATATTCAAAAAAGGCAGTCTTATAAGAAGCCAGCTTTATGAAGGGTTATAGAAGTTGATTGTAAGTGCTGATAGAAGGTGTTTAAAACTTCCATACAATTTGTTTCTATGACTTCCAGAAGACGAATGGAACATTCTGAGCACTGCCGTGCTGTGGGGCGCATTGAAGCAGGACAGTCGATCACAGATGTTGCTCTTTTCTTCGGCGTTCATCATTCTGTAATTTCACAGTTATGGAAACAATTCCAAACCACACAGATAGTTGTCTGAAGGCCCGTAACAGGTTGCCCAAGGGTTACAATCCCCGCGGAAGATCAATATATTGTTATTGTAGCCAAGTGGAATCGCAGAGCGACCTCCACACGTGTGACATCTATGGTTACAGCGTCCATTGGTAAGGCGATATCTGCAGCTACTGTACGCTGAAGATTACATATGAGTGGACTGTACACCTGGGTACCTCGAGTTTGTGTTCCTCTATCTGTCCAATACAGAGGGGCACGATTACAGTGGTGCCGGGAACATGTCAATGGGAATGTGTCTGACTAGGGCAACATCATGTTTACTGATGAGTCAAGATTTGCTCTGGAGCTAGATGAGAAGCATATAAGGATATGGCGTGAACAACAAACACACAATCAGTCCCAAAACATCACCAAACATCACGCATTCTGAGGCGGAAGCATTATGGTGTAAGCAGGAATTTCATTAGGATACCGCACCGACCTGCATATCTTTAAACGCGGTTCTTTGACAGCTGTTCGGTATTAAGACGAAGTCCTAGAACCCATTGTGAGATTGTACGCTGCAGCAGTTGGCAATACTTTTGTTTTAATCGACGATAACGCATGACCCCAATAGAGCTGACATTGCCGATGACTACCTGGAGAGTGAAGAGATTGCGCATATGGCGTGGCCAGCATATTCGTCCGACCTTAATTCCATTGAAAATCTTTGGGATGCTCTCGGCCGTGCTGTATCTTCATGTTTCCCACCTCCAGCCACTCTTATTGAACTGGAAACTGCTCTACAAGATGAATGGCGATTGCTTAATTCTGCAGTGGTTGACCACCTAATTGAAAGCATGGTCACAAGGTGTAAACTTTGTATACAGATGAGGGGGGAATCACATACCCTATTAATGTCCTTTTTTTTTTTCATTTTATGCTGTTTGTTTTCACTTTATACATAATTCTGTTTAAGTCTCCAGTATGTTATTATCTGATAACTTACAAAAATTTAATATTGTTTTCATTTCTGTATATAATTATTGATTTTGTTTTATGCATAAATATATATGCTACTTTCCTGCCGAATTTTGTGTCAATCAAAGCAGAATTTGTTGATTTTTTTGCATTTTACATCTTCGTGCTTAACTCTTGGAAATGAGTGTATTATAGGAAAGAAATTCAGGACTCTCAGCCTCAAAAGTGAAGCTTTCATACATGACTTTCTAATGGAAAATTACCTGTATTCTTGTTACACCATGAAATAATGTAAAGAGAAAAATCATGGAATTCCATATACAGTCAAAAGTCGTTAATTCGGACACCCATAATCCGGAATGATCTATAATCAGAACCTCAAAGCTAAAAACTTTCTGCGTATGCGCCACGTTGACACATGCTCATAGGCGTTTATGCGTGAACGTAAGACCTCTTACGACTGCGCATTTGCGTGTGCACAAGCGCAGAATACGTTTTCGCATGCGGGTTTTATGTATAACGAACGGTATAAGCTAAAATTATCTAATTATCTATTTCAGTTAATGTTGATGATTGCGTTGTTCCTTAATTTTCGAATTGGATCCGGCTTATTATTTTTTGCAGACTGTAAGAGCAATACTATAAAAGTAAACTTGAACTTTCGATTATGTCAAATAGAATTTCCGAATCTGGAGCTCCCAAAGGATCGTACAAAATGAAAGTATGTTTTGATGTCCATCAAACAAAAAGTGGAATTGCTGCAAAAAATGGATAAAGACATGAAGAATGTGACAGAGAGGTTAGTGAAAACGAAAAAATTTTGATTGACAAGTTAGTCGGTATTCTCGGCACAGCAATTAACGGGACTTGAACGGCGGAACTTTGTAACTGAACAAAAAATTATGTCTGTTTATAGAATTAAAGAGAAAGTATTAACGAAAACGAAGCAACTTAAACAACTTACATTGAAAGAAATGTTTAATAAAGTAAACAAATAAATATTAAGCTTTTTTTTTTTTGTAAATTTTGATACCCTTTAGATCATAATTGTTCTTTATTTCATAAATTATGGTTTCATATTTTTAATTTTAGAATTTCTGCATGCCATCTTACGCGATTTAAACTGATGATCTATAATCTGGAAAAATCGATAATCCGGAATCGTCGAAGTCCCAACGAGTCCGGATTAATGACTTTTGACTGTATTGGCATCTGATCTCATTATCTCAAGCTAAGAACACAGTTAGCCCCTTTCTCAGGCTTAACAGAAAAGCCTCCATTTGGGCTTCAACTCAAGATGAGAAAATAAAAAACTAATCTAAAACTAAACTGAACTTGGTCAAAGCTGCAAAAAGCTATCTAATGTAGTTGCACTTAATTAGATTAACTGTAGAAGATGGGAAACGAGAATAGACAGTAAAGCATGTTTAAAAATAAAAATAACCCCTACAACATCAAAGAACAAAATAATAATTCACCTACAATTTTAACTAGAACAGAACCTTTTGTTGGCTAAAAAAAAAAAAAAAAAAGAAAAAAGAAAAAGAAAGAAAGGGGGGGAAAAGATCGAGAGAGAGATAGAGTAAGACAGAATAAAGAAGCTGTCTGGAATAGTTTTACAAACGACATATTTTTAATTACTATAATCAGAAATACAAATAAAAAAAACGCATGTGCCGATAGAATAGGCCATTCTTAACCTAAATTGAGTATAGAACAAAGGTGGAATATTCAGCTTTCAAATTACAATACAAAATATCTCCTATCCATAAATGCAAAGATAATTTCTTTTGTTCTCCAGTACGCATATGAACTTTCCTACTATACAAAGATGAAAATGAACTGAAATTTTAACAGTTACAGATAAGTTTCATTACTCAGTTTTTTTTTAAGTCAAAAACATTTTCCTCTTGATGAAAAATATTTTTTAAACAAGAAAACAATATTCAGTTTTATCAAAATGTCATGTCAGTATTAAATTAATTTCACTACTGAGTTTCAGCAGCTAAGCCCACATTTAAAAATGTACCATATGAAATGTATTAGCATAATCTAAAACATACCTTTTCACATCTTTGTTCTGCCTCTTGCAACTGTTGCTTTAATTTAGTCTGAGCAGCTTTATGTTGCTTTAAAAAATTTTCCAGCTGAGACAATTGCATACCATACAAATTTTTAACAGCTGCCTCATCAAAAGTTGCATCAAATGCTCCTAGGCAATCACGCTGGAGTGCTGCCCATGGATCGTTTGCAGATGCAGGTTTGCGTTTTGGATATAAAAGCTGCTTCACTTGCTCTGCCTATATATTAACCAAGAATTAAAAATGAAACTTCGCACTATGTTCAACTATGTAGAGAGAAAAATACATCAAAGTTACATAATTATAACAAATATTACACACAAATAATGCAAAGATCACAAAATATATTTTAAGTAGCACAAGTAGAATAAATATATCTGCCTATAAATTACATCAATTCTAGAATAAAACACAAACAGATTAACCTCTTTGCTATTAGTGTATCATATACAATATGCTTGGTTCTCTCTGTCAGCCCACTATATCAAATGTGCCATGAGAGAAAAGTGTCACGGACAACCAACACAATATATGAAATACTGAGACATAATGTTTTGCTTGAAATTTAAATGCACATAAATGATGTCAGAATGTCATGAAAGTTAACTGAATGGAATATCTTCATAGTTACTCTTGTTGTTATTTGCTACTTTATTCCATGAGTGAAAAACACACAATGTTCTGAACACACGTTCACAGTTTAAAAATATTTCACACAGTGTGAGCAGAGCAACTTAACACTTTGTATATAAATATGAAAGAGATATAATGGAAATGGATGTTTACATTTAAGTGTTAAGTTTTATTTTATTTCGTTATTAAGAATTTTATTTTATTATTGTATGGAAATATTTCACATAAGTAAATATAATCATTATTTATAATACTGCACTATAACTTACTTTTAAATTTCATTTTAATTACAACTATCAGGACTTTCTTCTTATATTATAAAAAAAATAACAGTTAATATATGCATAAATCCAAATATTTAGGTAAAAAGCAAATTTTACACGAATTATTTTTCTATCTTATGCTTAACTGAAAAGCCTGCTAATGTACACAGTGATGTTCACCACCCCAAGATCACAATCCCATAGGGGAATTTCATTTTCCCCACAGTTAGAAGCAGAGCGATTAAGGATTATAGAAACTAATATACGTGCAGTAAAGCTCTTTGACATAAATGAACTCTGAAAGCATAAAATATTACAAGAATACTTTAAAATTAAACAGTAATGTTTTTAAGTATTAGTGAAACTAATACACATGTTAGAGTGAAAAAGCTCTTTGATTTTACACTTTTTTGTCACTGAAAGTAATAGACAGCTATTGGTAAGATTGGTAAAAAGTTTTACATTCCAGCAATAATAATGAAAGGAATACCAGTTCAGCAACCTTAGCAGAAAAAAGGAAAGAGGTGTCTTTTAGTCAACATTGTTAGATGAAGCTAGTAGAGGCATATTTTGATAGCTAGGTTGGTAGTTCAGAAGATTTCCTTTTACTTAAATCCATGATGTATTAGATCTTTTACTTTATACATTAAATTTCCTGCTGCTTAAATAATGGTACCTGCTAAGTGATATAAAGAATTTCATTTGACAGAAAAGTAAAGCCCTAAATTTTCTGTTAAAGCCTCATACCACACTTTTTATGCAATATTGGCATAGTTTGGGTTATTTCTTTTCCACCTCTCGGCTCAATATTATATAAAATGAAACAAACTGGGAACAAACAATAGTGAGAAAACTATCTCTAATTTCATGACATAAATCCTCCTTAAAACCAGCGTGGGAAGTAAGGCCTATTCTCCCCTCCTCTTTCATAAAAAGCTTTCACAAATTTCCATAGTTCTGTAGTATCTTGATTTTAACATTAGGAAAATGCGAAAAGGAGTTGGCATATACCTTTGTCATGAAATTATTCCAATCAACCATAGAAGCAAATTCTGGTGTGCAAAATTTAATAGATATTAACTCCTGACAAAATAATTAAATGAACTGGCAGTAACAAAAGGAATACAGGATCTAACAAATAACGTTTATGCTTGGGCACAATTTTATTTACATAAGGAACAGGGTTCCATAGCCATTTCAGGTTCCAGCCACATTCATTAAAATGTTTGGAGGTTATTCGAACACATTCATTCTTTGTGCAGAATACCTTTTTTGTCATAGAATCTATAGCAGGAGGAGGAAAATGTGGTCGCCAGAGTGATGGTTATAAAGACAATTATCTCCAGGAAAAAAGTCATACTCAACTCATATCTGGTGCCAAGGAAATACACCAAAACAAACAAACAAAAAGCACTATAATGGCTTTTTTGAACAGTACCAACATTTCTAAGCAAAAAACAACTGGGGGTGGAGAGGAGGGAACTTGCTGGAGAAATACTTATAAATAAAATTTCATGCATCTGCAAAGATATGTTAAAGACAAAGGGAAATAAAATTAACCTTAGAAGAAGGTAATTTCACACTAAACTAACTTATTTTTGAATGATTCAAGAAACATAAGGAAGGAAAGCATTATTTCAGGACCTATGCTTAAAAATATATTTTTGACAAAAAATTGCAGAAAAATTAAGATAAGATTTCATTTGAAGCATGAAAGCTTCCCATATAAAGTGAAATTCATAAATTTCGCCTTTTTAAAAAATAATACTAAAAACCTGGGGAATATTGCTAATAACTGTGTCAAATAAGATATGAGACTCATGCACATCTCATATCTTGCTTAATGCATTCACAATCAGCATAAATTTCATTCAATTGTTCAATAACACTGTTAGGTAGATTAGCTTATTTCTTTCCATACCACACTGAATGCTAAAACATAAACTTAAAAATACTTCTTTTCCTTGAAATATACATGCAGCTTTGTTAAAATTATTATCACAGAATTTCAATTTCATAATAATGTTGGAGTGACTAAGCAACAAGAGTTTAATACTTTCATAAAATATGATATGAACATCAACAGATTCTGTTTTCATTATGGCAAAGCATTCAATGTCTATCTGCTTTAATTGCAATCTTACTACCTTCATGGCAGGTTTATTAAAAGAAAGTTACATATACAGAGCCTTATATGTGCAGAAAAAGATCTAAACCACATATGGTCAAACCATTTAGTCTCCAGCCACAAAACGCCAGTATTTTAATGACATTTCAGCATTCATACAAATTTTATGTCCAGTATTATGCAAATTAGAACTAAGGCAAATGTCAGTAAATGTAGCAAAATAGCAGCATTCAGTCAGTAATATTAACTTCAGAATAGTAAACAAATACTAACATTCCCCTTTCCCTTGGAAGTATAACATATCGTTGTTATATGATAGTCGTTAAGTTTCACTCCAAGGCTAGGTTGTTAGGGGTTTTTAACGCTGCTTTGAGTGAACCTGTGAAGTCTTTCTATTTTGCCAAGTTCTTAAATATTTCGGAAGAAAATTGTGCTTCAGAGTCTGTTACTATTTTATAAGGTGTTCCAAATCTTGTAATCAAATTGTTGCAGAAAGCTTTGACGATAGATATATTATTTAATGGAATTACTTCAACCTAATTTGTAAATTTATAAATGCATGTCAGACAATAAACATTTCCATTTCATGGGGTTAACAACCCCATTATATTATGTCAATATGAATTTTTTAAAATCTTTCAGTAGGTTCTAATATTTTTCGAAAACTGATTTTGTGTGGTGAGAAACTTTGTTTTTTTGACAGGAAATATACACTCGAGCCCATTGTTATATGTCTTTTTTTATGTTCAGCCAAATGAATTTTGAAGTTAGAAGCTTTCAGGATGATCTTATTTCTGGATGTGAAAATTCGTGAACGTGAATAAATACTTTCATTCAATATTTCTTCAGAACATACGATCTAATTACTGTTGTTCAAGTGTCACACCATAATTTTTTTCCTGTAGGTAATGGATGTTAAATTTTAATGAAGTTAAATTTTGTAAATTTTTTTATTCTTCATCATCAGTTTGGCTTTCCGCTGTTTCATCATAATTAATTTCTGTTATTTCTTCTAGTTTTGATAATGTGTTCGCTAGTATATTATTTTCACCTTTAATATGTTTGATTTCTGAGGTAAACTGTGAAATATATTGTAATTGCCTGCATTATCTGGTTTTTGTTGAAAGACATACAGCAGAATTCTGTGATTGGTAAATATAGCGAAATTTCTTCCTTCTAAAAGATGTTTGAAAAGTTTTATAAACCTGTAAGTTCCAACTATTTCACAATCGTACGTGCTATATTTTTGCTGTGTAGTATTGAGTTTTTTAGAAAAGAATGCTATTAACTTCCATCCATTTTTATAAGCTGATTCAATAGCCGAATCTGAAATGTCTGTAAACAATGATAGAGGTAATTCAGGATTTGGGTATGATAGCAATGCAGTATAAGCAAGATCTTGCTACATCAAAAAGTAGAATCTATGTTGAATTACAAAACACTGAAAACCATCTGTGAACTAAGAACATTTCTTTGTATGATCAACTTTTATTGTCATTATTTAAATGATGCTGCAAAAACCCAAGCTATTTTACATGACTATCTGAAAGGTTCAAAGAAAAAAAGACAAAAGAAAAATTCAGTTGACAGACGAGGCATTAAAACACTGAAATGTTCTTAGTTCACAGATAGTTTTCAGTGTTTTGTAATTCAACATAGCTTCTACTTTTTGATGTAGAAGAAAACCTTCAGGTGTAATCGAATCCCCTAAAAATTCTACAGTTTGTTCCTCAAAAGTTGATTTTGACAAGCTTATTCTCAAGCCATATTTGTTTAGTCATTCAAAAACTAGAATGTAGATGTTTTTTTATGATCTTCTTTGTTAGATGATGAGATCAATACATCATCTAAATAGAGAAAAGTGAAATTTAAATCTCTAAAAACTTCACGGATGAATCTTTGCAATGTTGAAGGTGCACTTTTCAAACAAAAATGCATAACATTATATTCATACAAGCCAAACGGGGTTATTATTGCAGTCTTACCTTTATCCACTTCTGCTATTGGTATTTATAACATGCTTTAAAGAAATCGATTTTAGAAAAAAAATTGCTCTTTTAAAATACATGAAAAATCTTCAATTATTGGTATTGAGTATCTATCAGGCACTGTTCGGGAATTTAACTTCCTATAATTTCCGCACGGATGATATGAGCCATCTTTTTTCATCACCATATGTAATGGACTTGACCATT